TCAATGAGATGAGGTCTTCATGGAACTAGGCCTCAGCTTCCTCCTTCTACTGAGAGTTGTGAGGATTAAATGAGATAATACATATGAAGCACTCAGCATGATGCCAGAACAGGCGTGCTCAATAATAGAAACTTTCTAAAAGACTTTGAATGAAAAGGTCTTTGTTTGTTTGTTTGTTTGTTTGCATACCTGGGTGGGTTTCACAGTCTCTATAACCTCTTAGAGAACACATGCAGAATCCTGTGTGTATAAACCACTTGTTCCTGGGCCTACCTTCTGGAACCGCTGTCCCCTCCCACAGGGGGAATGTGGCTCTAAGCTCACAGGCATCAATCAGTCCTGGCTGCTCAGGCTGCCTGTGGTTGGGGCTGGAATTGTTTTCTTCATTTTTTGCCAAGGAATCTTTGGGCTGGAATCCTATAGGTGGGATGGCAGGTCAGAGGGATCATGTGTTTGTAGCTTTGTTAGATATTTCCCTCCATTCCCTCAATTTCTTTCTTTCCCTTGAATACTGCTTGCATTCCCACAGCCTCAATAGCAGATTGTGGTCAAATTTTGAGATTTGTGTCAATCTGCTAAACAAGAAATGGTATTTCAGGCTTTTCTAAAAATTTCATCATATTATGAGCAAGGTTGAGCACTTTTTGACATGCTTAAAATGTCATTTGCATTTCTTGGTGTGTCTTTCTTGTATTTAGAAGCTATATATTGGTTTAGCTTGTAATTTATGTTCTTACTTTGCTAATAGTGGACTTCTTTTTCTATATATGTTGTTGTTTTAATTTTTTATGTAGTTAAATTCATCAGTCTTTCCCTTTATGATATGTGGATTCTGAAATCAGGAGTTGTTCTCATTTTCAGGTTTACAGGAATTTCCTCATTTTCCATTTTCTTCTAGTTCTTAGATGATTTCCTTCTTCCAGTGACTCTGGCACCACTCACTGAAAGATACCCACCCCCCTCAATTTCCATATGCAGTTGAGCCTGTTTCTGGATTTTTATTAAATGTTTCATTGGTTTGTCTGTATATTCTTTAGTTTTCCCAACCCCCAACTCAAACTGTTCATTTTAAAGTGTTTTTTTTTTGTTGTTATTCTGGCCTGTTCTTCAAAATAATCTTTATAATAAGAATAGTGTGGGACTTCCCTGGTGGGGCAGTGGATAGGAATCCGCCTGCCAGAGCAGGGGACATGGGTTCGATCCCTGGTCCAGGAAGATTCCACATGCCATGGGGCATGTGTGCCACAGCTACAGAGACCGAGCTCTAGAGCCCTAGAGCTGCAACTACTGAGCCTGCGTGCTGAAACTACCAAAGCTGATGTGCTTAGAGCCTGTGCTCTGCAACAGGAGAAACCACTGCAATGAGAAGCCCATGAACCACAGCTAGAGAAAACTGACACACAGCAACAAAGGCTCAATGCAGCCAAAAAAAAAGAACAGTGTGTATGACAAGGGCAAGTGTCCATTAAATAAGGTTAAGGGAGAAAACAGACAACAGAACCACACAGTATATACATGTGTGTCTTTTTCCTTATAGAAAAATAGTGGAAGGGAAAGAGCCAGGAGAGCCTTGTTTGAGTAGTTATCTTTCAGTAATATGGCTATGGGTAGCCTTATCTTCTTACTGATGCAAACCTTAATGGAAAAACTATGCCAACCGCCACACGGCTGTCTCACCCTCTCATCCTCCTTCCCCCTCACCTCCCCCGTGCCACTCTGGAGACCTTGTCACAGCTCGGGGCCACAGCATCTCTTTGTAAAGGAGGACGCACATTACCGCCCAGAGGAGCCCGGGGTTATGGCCTCTGCCAGATCTGGGGGTGGGGTGGTAGGGAAGGTTCAGGCATACCTGATTCCCCACCCCACTGTCCTGCTCTCCATTAAAAGCTCTACACCCCGTGTTCCTTATTGCCCAGGAGGCTGATTCCTAAGGGGTAAGGGAACACCAAGGGCCATTCTCACCAAGTTCCTACTCCGGCCCAGCAATGTACAATAGAACTTTCTTTGATGGTGGAATGTTGTTTTCTGCGCTGTCCAACAGGGTGCCACTAGCACATGTGACTATTAAGTACTTCAAATATGGCTGGTATGACTTTTTAAATTTATTTTTAATTAATTTAAATAGCCACTCTACTGGCCAGTGCCTCTTTGGCCAATTCCCAACCCAGTCACTCCCCTTCCAACCTAGAGTTGGAAGGAAAGAGCCTGCCTGTGTCGGTGGACTGAGAGGCCAGGCAGGCTGGTGGAGGCTGGAGAGAGGGCTGCAGAAGGGGGCCAGCACACCAGCAGCCTGCCCAGCAGCACAATACTGCAGGTGGGAGGTGAGCAGGAGCCTGGCAGCCTGGCAGGCAGCTTCCTCCACGGGCAGGTCTCTTTGTCTGCAGACCTACTTACAGCAACCCAGGCAGCATTGTTTCCTGGGAAATGGAAAAGCACCCAGCAGCTGAGTGGCCTCAGCCTGGAGACTCACGGGAGGAAGCAGGACTGAAGAGGGGCTGGGGGAGCCCACCTGGCCCCAGGACCCAGACGCCACCTGGAGGTGGGGTACCCTGGGTACAGAGCTCATTTCGGCGATTTGGTTTTCCTACTTCTACTTCAGGAGTGTGAGGCCCTCCCTTCTGTTTGGGGCTGGAGGATGATGGCAGAGAGGGCATGAGTGAGGGCAGAGTAGCCAAGGACTGGGACCTGGGGGCCCCAAGGAGGACGCCAGGATGTGGGGCAAGATCTCATGCTGCACTTTTGAGGGTGATTTGGAGACCAGCCGCTGGGGCTGTTTCCTACCCTCAAAGGGCCCAGGGTTGCATGTCCTCCAAATGGACTTTGTGTTGAGAAAATGCTACCGAAAAGGGGAACTGTACCCCCACAGGACCTGTGGTCAGGCGAGAGGGCAGAGGGGTCACATCAAGGCTTTGAAGTTCTGAGTCTCAGTCAGTAGAGTCCAGCTCCTTGAGTTTGTTGGTTACCTGCTTTGTGCCTGGCCCCAGGCTCTGGTGAGAAATGAACTACCCTTTGAGTCTGGCTGGCAGCAAGAGAAGGTATCCTTATTTTCTGGGGGAGAGAAACTTGGTGTGTTTCTGGCAAGGGTGGTGAAAAAAACACTTCATTCTGGGGGACTCCGTGAGATATAAATGGATGCATCTCCAAGGATATGGATGTGTCTCCACCTGTCCATCACAGGGGCTCCCATGCCCAGTTTCCCCCCAGAGCTCCCTGGGGAGCAGAAGTGTGTTCAAAATGCAGATCACCAGGACCCCTGCAGGAGGGGAGGCAACACTGCCCTCAACTGGGCATTCTGCGCTTTATGCTGACCCCTGCTGGAGCCTCCTCAAGCTCTCAGGTTGGGAGAGACAAGACAAACCCCAGAGGGAAGGCCTCCCAGCAGTGAACTTGCTCTTGGGGAACTAGGCTGTTAGTTCCCCAAGGAAGTGCTTTTGCTACAAAGGGTGGAGCTTCTCCTAGAACACAAGCACACAGGAAGATAAGGGAAGAATCTGGAGTGTTTCAGACATTTAAAGCCAAAGGACACACAGGTGCTTCACCAGCCAAGAGGCAAGTCCACCAATGTAGACCCTGGAGACTCATAGTCATGTGAGGGGTCAAGGGAAGTGTCACCAGGAGGCAGAGGAGAGGGTGGGATTGCCTCTCTGCAGCCACCTTTGTGGACATACACACCTTAAAATACATTCTGTAACCCCAACCCCATCTCTCTGGAGTCTTAGATACGGAGTCCAAGAATGGAATTTTTAATAAGCTTCCTCCTTCCCCATTAGTCTAAGAATTATAGTTCTCTCCGCCCTGTGTGCAAAGCACAGAAGCTAGTGAGAATGCAGGCCTCCTCCCCTGGGGGTCTCCCTAGAACAAAGGGGAGGCAGCAGGCCTGTGGGAGTTGAGGAGGTCAAGTGGTTCAAGACCCTGAGTGGCTTGAGAGACCCCTCACGCCTGTCCACAGGTGCTCGTGGTGAAATCTCAAATACAAAATAAGAAGCATCGCTTCTCAGCTCCTCCTTCCCCAACATACACAGAAGGGAAGAGAGAATAGCACACTGTATTTCCTCACTGATATTCTTCCATGACTGGGACCTACTCCATACAGTAAACAGTTGTAGGAATATGTAGTTTCCATAAAACAAAATTTTGAATGGAAAAAAAAAAAGATGCAGTCTATAAACAAGTATCTTTTCTGAAATAGGCCCCACACAGAAAAGGTACCTCCCCTCTCAGAGGGCAGTGCAGCTCTGGCAATGCGCAGCTAAGCCAGGGTCACCCACCGAAGGGGCTGCTCAGCCCTCTCCATCAGCATGCATGTCCACCCACAGACCCTCCTGCATCAGAGGCACCTGTCCCTTCAGGCCACTGACCCACATTACAGTCCGACAGGGTTGCAGTGACTGCTCACGGCTGCCCTGGGACAGTCCCACTCTGTGTGGGTGCAGTGGGGGACAGGAGTATGACAACACAGACGAGAGGAAGTCCATGGCAGACGTCAACCATCGCTTTATTAAGGCTCAGAGTGGTTTGCCAGTCAGAGGGGCTGAGTCATTCACTCCACAGATCCTCGCCGTGTTCCACTTGTGGGTGACACTGACGGTGGAAGCTCTGAGAGCCAGAGCCACACTCACATCCGCCTTGGAGGATGAGAGGTGTGTGCAGAGAGTGTGGCTCAGAGTGTGGGACTGGCTCTAGCAGACCCTGGGCTCTGGCAGGGGTGCTGGCAGGGAGGCGCTGGGGGGCAGGGACATCTCCCCCATCCCTCCCAGCCCAAACTATGGCTTTGTTATCCTATTGCCACGTGAGTGGGTGCGGAGGGCCTCTTCCCCACCCCTCACTCCGCAGGCCCACATGCTACACTGTGGGAGGAGACAAAGGGGAAGCCCTGGAGAAAGCAGAGCCCTCCCAACCCTGTGCCTGGGACCAGGCCAGACCTCAGGAGCTCTGAGCCCCCCATTCACTCCTCCTCAGCTCCCCACAGCGATGGGTCTCCTCAGGTTAGGGCTGGTCACTCAGAAGTGAACCCGCAGAACGTCCTGGCTGGCGAACGGCTGCTGGCAGGCTGTGCACGTCACGGCTGGGGAGCGCTGCTTCTCGCCCAGGCAGGGCCGGCACAGGAGATGGCCACAGGGAAGCTGGTACGCAGACTCCCTTCTGAAGTAGGGGGAGAACACTCTTTTGCAGGATGTGCATTCAGGGCCCAGGCTGCTCCCAGACTGCTCTGGTGAATCAGGGGGGGAAAATAGACCAGGGTTAGGGAAAGTGGTCCCCAGTCCAGACTCAATCTGGGAAGCAGGGCATGTGCCTGGAGTAGAATAAGAAGCTTCTCTACCCTGCACCTCTGCAGCAGCCTGGCTTCCTCCCTCCCTAGGTCACCCCTGACTGATCAGGGAGGAGAAGGTTCTAGGGAGCCTGAGAATCTGGGGAGCCTCCTCTCGATCATCAGTGCTCCAAGAAATGCTCAAGAAAAGCTGGCTTTCGAGGGCTGCTGGGCAGCACTGGGCCCTGCCTGCGGCACTCCAGCAAGATGGACTTTCTCCTGGATAGGCTGCCAAGGTCAGAGCAAGGCACATGCTCACGGTTACAATCCTGATAAACTGCAAGAAAGGTGAGATGTGACAAGCAGAGGAAAAAGCAAAATATGGTGTGATATACCCAGGATGAGCAGGTTAAGGGGGGACGGAGGTCACCAGAGGGGCAGGGCTGAGGTCTGTCTGTGGCAGACCTGCCTGCTGAACCTGGCCCTGCATCACTGTAGCCCTGGAGCCCAGCTGCTCCCCTCCCAACCTGTCTGTCAACCCCCTTCTTGTGCTTCAGGCTCTCCCCTTCATGCTTCCCACAAGGTTTCCTGCATGAAGGCCACAGTGGGCAGGTTCTGCCACGCCTCCCCAAGCTATACCTGCCGCTCTCCCTTCTCTCATGGTCCTTGCCTAGGGCTGCTGCTCTCTCTCCATCAATCCACGCCCACCTGGAGAGAGCAAGGATGGCCTCTTGGGTGAAGAGCCCTAAGAATAAAAGGGAGCCAGCCATGCATGAGTGAAAGAGACACCAAGGACAGAGAGAGGCGGGTCCATTAAAGAAACAGAAAAGACAGGTGTGATGCAAAAGAGTGCGGCTTCGAGAGTATGGCAGAAGAACATGCAAGACCTCACAGGCCGCCATTTCTACTTTATTCCAAGTTCAACAGGATATCTTGGAAGAATTCTAACAAGCGTAATACCATGATCTGGCTGACATTCTCAGAAGATCCTGAAGGCTCCTGTGAAGAGGACGGGCAGGGTAAGGGTGACTGCAGAGGAGCAGCAGAGGCTGTACGGGAATCTGGGGGAGCAGTGCAGGAGCCAGGGCCAAGGCAGCAGCAAGAGTGATGGAGCAGAGAGGACCTCCCTGAGATCTACTTTGGAGGAGTGTAAAAAGGACTTGACGATGAACAGAATGTCAGGAATGTTGACGGAAACCAAGGCTGACCTCCCATGTTATGGGCTTGACCACGGGGTAGAAGATGCTTGCTCTTTACCAGTGACTGGATAATGGGGGGCTTTGGAGGACAATCTTTGGAGGCGCCTGCAGTTCTGAGTTAGAAATTCACTTCAGATATCCATGAGTTTCCCCTATAGGGGTGCCAAGTAGCTGTAAGGGAGGTCAGGGTCTGAGTTCCAAGAAGAGGCAGGAGCTATACGTGAACATGGGCAGTCACTGGCCAAGTGGGCTCTCACTTGAGTGGTACAGAGTATAGCAAAGAGGGTCCAAGACCAGAGTCTGGAAGAGAACAAAGAATCAGCAATGGAAACTGAAGAGACACTGTTGAAAATTGGAGAAAAAGAGCATAACATCTGGAAGGCCAAGACAGAAGATGTTTCAGGAAGGAAGGAGAGGTTAGCCACAATAAATGCTGCCAAGAAGGTAAGTGACCATCAAATCTGCGGTCATGGAAACTGCTGGTCACCTGGATGAGACAGGTTCTGGGAATGATCAGGATGGAAACATAATCAGAGAAACTGGGAGATGGGGACAAGAGGCAGAAAAGGTAAGTTGGCCTGGGATCCAGGCAATGAGAACAGACGCACTTTAGACAGGCAGGAGGAAGAAAGTGTCCACCTTATCATTAGCCCTGCCAGATTTCACCTTGTAAAAAACACCCCAAGTTCTCTCACTTTGTATCCTGACTGAGTCTATCGTCCACTGTGGTCCCAAGTTCATTTTAGGCAAAACTTGGCTCAGTAAGCTACCACTGTTCTAAGATGCTGGTTAATAGGGAGGGATGAAGATGACATACTCAACTAGAAATCACTCTCCACATTTACATAAAGTTACCACAGATGTCAGATGGGAGACAGACTACATTTAAAAAAACAAGCAAAAGGGAGAAACAAACAAATGTCCTCAGGACAGAGTAATTAATATTAGATCTTACCAAAATCACCAAGCCCCAACACCGTTGAATTACGAAGAATTAACTAAAGAAAGCCTTTCCTGTGAAGAGTTACACTTCATAGGCAACCCCTCAATTCCCTCTAGAAAAGGAAAGGCCTGGGTGTTGGAACTAGGGGAGCCTGGGTGTGGAGGTCCACAGAGTCCCAGAGGTATGCCCCCACATTCTGTTCAAGAGTCTGAGGAGATGCACAGGGCCCCTTCTTACCTGAGCTGGTGCTGGGCCTCCAGGAAGTATTGTTCCCTCTTGTGCTGAGGTGCTGGAGCTGTCCCCTGGTCAGCCGAGCTGTGAAGGAGGGCATGGAGCCAAGGGTTGATGTCAAGGCAATTTCCAAGCTTTGTGACAGTTTTTGCTCATGGGACACTGGGCCTGTTAAGAGGTACACAGACCACAATATCAAGAGAGAGTTCTGGCAAAAGAGAAAACCAAAACACAAAGTCCTCTGAAGACCACAAAATAGTGTTTCTTCTTCTTTTTCAAACATTCTCATTTTATTAATTTATTTATTTGTCTTTGGCCAAGTCACACAGCATGAGGAATCTCAGTTCCTCGACCAGGGATAGAACATGTGAGCCCTGCACTGCAAGTATGGAGTCCTAACCACTAGACTGCCAGGGAAGTCCCAGAGAATGGTACTTTTAACTTCAAATAGACACAAGCATAAAGAAAGTCCTCCCTAGTTTCCACTAATAGACTGTGATAACAGGATACCAGGAGGTAAAGCCCTGGGGTTCCTGGCAGTTCTTACCCATCTCACATTGCTTTCAGGATTCCTGGGCTCTTGGCCAGCTTTCCTCCTCCTGTACAAATTACTGGGCAGGCCTGGGCCACCTAGTGGCTCACCTGCAGAACTGCACCCTACTTTCTGAAGGCGTCCCTACCTGCCAAGGAAGTAACTGGGACAAGCAAACGCCCAGCCAAAGAACCCAGAGATTTGCCAGGATTCCCCAAAGTGGTACCCTAAAAGTACCCCAAAGTAGGGAGTGGAATGTTTGTTCTACAGTATGTAGGATATAGGATATCAGCCTGAGGCCTTGAAGGAGCACTAGTCAGCGTGCTCCTGTGTCACCAACAGATCTCTTGAGGCTAACACCAATGGAGACCTCCACAAACATCAAGGTCTAAGCACCTTTCTCTTCATCTTACCCTATTGCACTTCAGATGCTTCCAGGAGTTTCTGGGGGTCTTGTTTACTAAAATTTACACTCAAAGTCAGAGAAAACACAGATGTAATCTTTAAGTTACTATCTGTATAAGCCTTTTAGACTAAGAGAGGAACTTTAAAGAATGGTAAAATCTAAACGGACTAGTTTTCATAAGGAAAAAAAAAAGTTGTCAGAGCTTTCTCCAAAAGCATCAAGCACTGACAATCACAGGGGAATTTTACCAACATGCAAAGTGTAAATGATTCTAAAACTATTAAGTTGTTCCAGAGTTTAGAAAATGAGAATTTCCTAATTCTTATGGAATAAATCATCAAAACCAAAACCTGACCAAAAATGGTATGCACTTGTGAACACACACACCCAACTGCAGTTCAATCTCATTAATGAATGCAAAAATCCTAAATAATAACACTAGCAAACAGAACCAAGCAGTACACTAAGAGAAGCATGAACAAATGAAATTTCTTACAGGAATATAATAATAGTTCAATATTAAGAAGCCTACTAGTAATACTTTACTGCATTATTGCTGTTGTTCAGTCACTAAGTCGTGTCCAACTCTTTGCAACCCCATGGACTGCAGCACGCCAGGCTTCCCTGTCCTTCACTATCTTCCAGAATTTGCTCAAACTTATGTCCACTGAGTCAGTGATACCATCCAACCGTCTCATCCTCTGTTGCCCTCTTCTTCTCCTGCCCTCAATCTTTCCCAGCATCAGGATCTTTTCCAAGGAGCTGGCTCTTTGCGTCAGGCCAAAGGATTGGAACTTCAGCTTCAGCCTCAGTTCTTCCAGTGAATATTCAGGGTTGATTTCCTTTAGGATTGACTGGTTTGATCTCCTTGCTGTCCAAGGGATTCAAAAAAGTCTTCTCCAGCATCACAATTTGAAAGCATCAATTCCTCGACACTCAGCTTTCTTTATGGTATAACTCTCACATTCATACATGACTACTGAAAAAAACTATAGCTGTGACTATATGGATCTTTGTTGGCAAAGTGATGCCTCTGCTTTTTAATATGCTGTCAAGGTCTGTCACAGCTTTTCTTCCAAGGAGCAAGATCTTTTAATTTTGTAACTGCAGTCACTGTCCACAGTGATTCTGGAGCCCAAGAAGATAAAATTTGCCACTATTTCCACTTTTCCCCCCTTAATAGATATGCAAATATGCCATGAAATGATGGAACCAGATGCCATGAAATTAGTTTTTTGAATGTTGAGTTTTAAGTCAGCTTTTCACTCTCTTCTTTTACCCTTATCAAGAGGCTCTTTAGTTCTTTACTTTCTGCCATTAGAGTGATATCATTTGCCTAGAGTGATATCATTTGCCTATCTGAAGTTGAAGATTTCTCCTGGCAATCTTGATTCTAGCTAGGTGACGCAGTGGAAAGGAATTCACAGGCCAGTGCAGGAGACACAGGAGATGTGGGTTTGACCCCTGGGTCAGGAAGATCCTTTGGAGTAGGAAATCACAACCTACTCCAGTATTCTTGCCTGGAAAATTCCATGGTGAGGGGAGCCTGGTGGGCTACAGTCCATTGGGCTGCAAAGAGTCGGACTTGACTGAGCATGTACAAGGATGTGAGTTTAAGAATGTGGCACAAAATCAATCACTTTACTGCATTAAAAGATCTAATGATAAAAAAAAGATTTAATGATGAAAAATCATAATATCATCTCTATGATATTGAAAAGGCATCAGACAAAAAAAAATGCATCAGACAAAATTCAATCTTGGGTAAAAACGATGAATAAAATAGGAATCATTGGTGTGTGAAAGTGCCTGAAGGCCCCAATGAACCCCACCTCCTGCTACTCATATCCTTTGAGTGTGAAGTGGATTCAGTGACTTGCTTCCTACAGAATACAATAAAAGTGATGTCACTCTGATTAGCTTCTACAAGACTGACTTCCACTTATTTGCACATGCTTGTTTGCTGCCCTTGAGAAGCCCATGTGGCACAGAATTGAGGGCAGAATCCAGCCACCAGACAAAAAGGAAGTGAAGCCCGTAGCGCAACAGTTCAGCAAGAAACTTAATCCTTCCCTTGAGATGGCTGCAGCCCTGCCAACACTTTGATAGCAGCCTTGAGAGACCCTAAAGCAGACAATTCAGCTAAGCGATGCCTGGATCCCTGAGGGAGAAGCTATAATAAACGTGTGATTCTTTAAGCTAGTAAGTTTTGGTATAATTTAAGCTGGCAGAGCACAAAACAAAGTGCCAGGGCCAAGGGTCACCCAGGAGGAAAGACAACACGGGGCTTGGACACGGGACAGGGGTTACCTGTTGAACAATCCATGAGCTCACTGGCAGCTTTCATTTTCTTAGCAGTGTGCTCTGAGGTAGAGGGTGAGACCAGAAGGCTTGTGGTAGAAAAACAGGAAGCATTTAAGCCAAGGCTACTGTCTGGGCCATGTTCGGCCTGCTCCATCTTCCTTTTCCGAGAGGGCAGAGCAATGGAAGAAGGGGCCACTGCCAATGCAGTCTGTGCTCTCCCGAGCAGCTGGCAGCCAGGGATGGAGTGCTGGAGCAGGAAATGGTCGATCCGTGCCTTCAAGGAAGGGTGAGGCAAGGGCTGGGAGTGTGGAGTAAAGGCTACTCCTGTGAAAGGGTCACTGGGCACTCGGCCCCATGTGGCTTCACTGCGGTTACACTTCTCCAGCGTGCTCTGGTCAATGACCTTGCCTGAGGGCAGTAGCATGGGGAAAGGCATGATCTCCAGGGTGATGGGATCTAAGAACTCTTCAGGTATATCCTGAATTACCTCAGCCAGCTCCTGTAGGCTAGAGGGGGCCTGCTGGCCCTCAGACTGGCCCCCAGAATCACAGTCACTCTCCATGGGCAATGCTGGAGCCTGTAAAGACAAGTCCTGAGGGAGACTCTCTGAGGCAACCAGCAGGACACTGTCTATCACTTCCTGAGAGCAGGTTTTGGCTGGCTGACCCCATACCTCTAACCGCTTGATACAAGGGACACCACCACCTGTCACATGGGTGATACAGATCTTGAGATGGGCCACGTGACTAAGAGAAAGAGTCCCTTTATTCCAGAGTTCTTGGGCCACAACAGCAGGGGAGGGGAGTGTGGCTTCCATTGGGCCAAAAGGGGGCCTGGCCTTGAAGCCCCTGTGGCTAAATACCACTTGGCTCTGGTTTTTCAACAAGACTTTGCCCACCAAAGTGAATGCTTCCTTGTCCGGAATGGATGGCTCATCTGGGGTCCGGCACTCAGGGGTATTCCAAGACGCTCTGCTGGATAAGGCAGATGTGTACATTTCCAGGCCAGTGACATTCTGGCCTCCCCCAGCTGAGAGATCTATGTTAATCCTACAGATTTCCACATTGAAGGGAAAGGAAACTGTCACATAGACCGGTGGCTTAATGAAATACTCTGTCCTAAAACCATGACTTCTCTTTGTCAGGTCTTCAGAGATGAGATTTTCTACTTCATAGCCATCAGCTGATATCTAGATTTAATGACAAAAATGAGACACAATGATTTGATGAGCTCTAAATCAAGGTGAGTTTTCAAGACCTTGTCACTTCTAGTAAAACTCTAAAGAAAATCTGAAGTTCCTCATTTGAAATTTCCTCTATTATATCAAATTTTCCTATTCTTTTTTCTTTTTTTGGCATGCATCCAAGATCAAATGAAAGGCCAAGGGCAACGGTGCCCCTAAATACTGCCCATCCTTAAAAAATGAGCAACAAAACTCTGTCTAACCAACCAAAATTGCTTCAAAATAACGTCTCTATGAAAAAGCAGCAGATATACAGCTTTTTTTAACCTTATTTTTAAATTTCAGAGGATGAAAATGTACAGATTTAGGGGGAAATGAAGATGTTCACTGAAGTTTCCAATTTTGTATTTGGACTCTATCACTTATAACAGTTTCCCCAGGAAGGCACAACAAAGGAGCTTCTTGTAAATCTCTGAATGATGTAACCTGGTGAAAAAAAGTCTGCATAGGAACAAGGACCACAAAAGACTATGGGAAATTTAAAACAGTGAATGTGCTAAGGGTGAGACTATGAGTAGCTTTTTCTCCCTCTTAATATTTCCAATACTTGTCATAACCAATGGAAATTTTAAGGTATCATTGTCTGAAGGAGTCAGCTTAATAATCTGGGAACCTGAAACAGTGTGCTGCATGCAGAAATTCCAAACTGGGGAGAAGTTCAATTCTACCCTGGGAGTTTCCTTACTCCCTGCTCTGGACTGTGGAAACATACCCTCCTTTGCACAAAAGGGGAGGCAGCTTAATTCAAACAATAAAGCACAAGGAATCCATATAACAAATATAAGCCATTATTTCTAGCATGAGAAGTTAGCAAGAACAGCAGTGAGAGAATTTCTACCTTCACTCTGACCTTGAGTGAAATTAAAATTTATCATCAATGATAAATTGATGAAATCTGGAGAGAAAAGAACCCTCCACAAAATGAGTCACAACTCAGCTGTCTGACTTTAGAGGTGCAGCCTGACCCATGCTTACCTAAATATCATCTGGTAGACTCTAAAACAATGAGGGTGAAAGCACATTAAGCCTGAACTGTCTATATACACAAGTAAGGAAATGGAGGAAAACATGAAAAATAGATGTCATTTATTTATTTATGTGTATATACTTGTTCTGTTTACCTTGTTGCAGTAAATTCTTGGTCTGAACTGTGGGAGACAAAGATTTATTACCATCTTTATGGCTGAGAGGATAGCTTCCAAGCATCAGAAATAGCCTTAAATGAAAAAATAAAACTTAGTATTAGACAAGTTAAAATTCAAATCTAAACTCTTAGGAATTGATTCCTAAGAGATGAGAGTTAAACAGAATAACAACAAAAATTTAACATACACTCTCATGGTCTATACTTACTCTCTTTCTATACAACACGCGATGATTACAAGGGAGATTTCTTTTGCAGATTAGGTGGTTTGGTTCTCTGGCTGGCAGCTGTTCTAAAGCCCCAGTGGAAGCAAGGGCCTATCAGCTCTGCAAGGAGCTCCCAACAGGAAAGGGAGGGTCAAAAGTAGATGAGCTCAAAGTAAAAAGACGACTACTTAGTTGGAAGGTTTAAGAATGAAAAGGGTCATAGAAAATAATCATAGTGGTGCTATGCATCTTTCATTTAACACTTGTTAATGCAGTTATGTTTTATTAAAGTGAAAACAATTAGAAGAGTAAAAAATATTAATATTGAGAAATAGAAAATCTTAGAGTTGAAAACATCTTAAAAGAACATCTAATTCAAATCCAACTGATCCTTGAATAAGGCAGGGATTAAAGGCATTGACCTTCCACACAACTGTTGAAAATCCACATCTAATTTTACAGTCTGCCCTCTGTATTGATGGTTCCACATAAGTGAATTCAACCAACCTCAAATTGTGTGGTACTGTAGTATGTATTTAGTGAAGAAAACCCATATATAAGTGGACCTGCACAATTCAAGCCTGTGCTGTTCAATGGTCAACTGTAGTCATTTTGAAGACCAATATCCAGGGAAAGGGAAATGGATGAAGGTCAAAAAGTACAAACTTCTATTTAAAAGATAAGTAAGTTCTGGGGATGTAACATACAACATGGTGACTACAGTTAACAACACTGTATTGCATATATGAAAGCTCCCAAGAGAATAGATCTTAAAAGTTCTCAACACACACAAAAAAATGTAACTACATGAGATGATAGATATTAACTCATCTTGTTATGGTAACCATTTCACTATATATATAAAATCATTATGTTGTACACCTTAAACTTATACACCTTGAACTATATAATGTTATATGTCAATTATAGCTCAATAAAACTGAAAGAAAGAAAATGACTAATGTCCAACAGCCTTTGTTACATTCTCTATAGAGAAGCAGGGAAGCCACTAGAAACATCCCTCCTAGTGGCAAGCCTCTACAGTGGATCTGCACTCCTTGGAAAGGCCAGCCAGTCCATGCTTTTCCATCTAACAGACAAGGCCATGAAAAACTCCCAGTAAGGACAGGGCCATACTCTGCAGTCTTTGTTGTGCTCAGTAGATGCTACCTGCAGAGGCCAGGCACATTGGGCTTTCTGCAACATTTTAGTGAGCAGTTTGATTGCAGGCCTGAAATTAAAAGATGCTTACTCCTTGGAAGGAAAGTTATGAGCAACCTAGACATATTGAAAAGGAGAGACATTACTTTGTCAACAAAGGTCCGTCTAGTCAAGGCTATGATTTTTCCAGTGGTCATGTATGGATGTGAGAGTTGGACTCTAAAGAAAACTGAGCATTGAAGAATTGATGCTGTTGAACTGTGGTGCTGGAGAAGACTCTTGAGTCCTTTGGACTGCAAGGAGATCCAACCAGTCCATCCCAAAGGAAATCAGCCCTGAATATTCATTGGAAGGACTAATGCTGAAGCTGAAACTCCAATACTTTGGCCACCTGATGTGAAGAGCTGACTCCTTTGAAAAGACTCCAATGCTGGGAAAGATTGAGGGCAGAAGGGGATGACAGAGGATGAGATGGCTGGATGGCATCACAGACTCAATGGACATGGGTTTGGGTGAACTCTGGGAGTTGGTGATGGACAGGGAGGCCTGGCGTACTGCAGTTCATGGGGTTGCAAAGAGTCGGACACGACTGAGCAACTGAATTGAACTTCTGCACAATGAGGTTCTACAGTGAGACTTTTGAAGGTCTGTTATCTCAGCCTAACCCCTATGTCTGTTCTACATATGAACACAAAATATTTTTTAACATGGTTTTAATACAGGCAGAATTTTCTAAGAAGGGAACTTCCATGTAAATTATACAAAGATCAGACTTGGTTTACTTCAGGTTTTTACCAAGAGGAATTCACTTCTGAAAAGCACATCACTAAGAGAAATGCTAATATATCTGACAGTCCACATTTGTAGCAGTCTGCATTCTAGATGATTCTATATGTTGGTAAAAGTTTTTGACTACTTTTTTTTTTTTTGGCCATGCCACGAGGCTTCTGGGATCTTAGTTCCCCAACCAGGGATCGAACTTGTGCCCAGGCAGTGAAAGAGCCAAGTCCTAACCACTGAGCCACAAGGGAATTCCTTTGATTACCCCTTTATGCCTTCCAGTATGGTCATATCCAAACATTCACACATGAGAATAAATTTTCACACTTTAAAATTTCTACTTTAAATTATTATTAAGTCTTTTGTGTGCACACGTATGTGTTTGTTTTACAACTACACAGTAAGGTTATATTATCTTTGACTTTAAATTCAGATCAGTACATTACAAAATATGTATTATTAAAAGAGAGAGATGAATCTGATGGAATAGAAAATCCTTGGCCTAAAGTCTCCCAGTCTTTGTTCAGAACCTGTGCCGAAAACTCCTTGTTCTTCTCACTTTTGGAGGCATACATGCCGTCTCTTTGCCAGCCTTCTACAATCTGCCCTGGAATCAACATGGATAGTTGACAGAACTCCTTTTTTGGAAGATTGTTTTAATATTTTCAGGCTGTTAATATCCTTATTCTCCATAGTAACTCAAAAATTAGTATCTAAGGAATTACATCTCCAAATATTCTCAGGGCCCTTGTATGTACCTCCTTTTGGTCAGGAAACTAGAACTCATTTAGAGCAGCATTTCCTTCAATTCTCCCACCCAAGTAGGGCAGTGCCTTCTTGTTAACTTTTTGTTTTAAATGAAAAATTAAGCTAATGAGTTTAGTTTAATATAGAAGTATTAAAATGATTATATGGGGCTTCCCAGGTGGTAAAGAACCTACTTGCCAATGCAAGTTAGACCTGCGTTCGAAATCGCGGTCAGGAAAATCCCCTAGAGGAGGGCATGGTAATCCTCTCCAGTATTCTTGGCTGGAGAATCCCATGGACAGAGAAGCCTGGCAGGCTGCAGTCCATAGGGTTGGACAGTTGAATACGACTGAAGCATGATTATATATGATTATAAATGATTATATAGCCCAGACCAAGGAAACAAAACATTTTTCCGAAGAAAGCAAGCCTAAGATTTGCCAAAGGAAAACAGATAATATATCAATAGATGGTGACAGGACCAATTTGCAGAACTAAGCTGGTCCTAGGTAAATTGGTGAAGTTAGCCAGCTCCAGCATTTGTGAGGGTTTTCTTTTCATTGCCACAAGCACTTGTCTCCTCCCTTCTTTGCTCTGATAGAAGGTGGCTTTGGTAAGAAAAAATAAAGAAACAGAAACTGTGTTATAATATCAAAATACTGAGAAGTGTTTCCTATTAGTAAGATAAAGGCAATCATCTCTATCCCCACAGTTCACATCTTAGATCTTTTCTCTGACTTTCAGAGAAAAAAACAAACTCTGGCAGAGGTAACAACGCTAACCCATTGAGGTACTGATTTGATTTCTTAATGGAAGGCACTGATTCCACTAAGATATACATTCCTCCTGTCTCTTGTTACTTTCTTGGACATTTCACACTGTGGTCTTTTAACTTTATTTTTCCTATTATGATATTTATTTATCTGAGAATGTAAATGTCAGAATCAGAAGAACCTGGGTAGGGGTCTTCTTGGAGTCATGATGAAGAGCTTTCCTATGAATATGAAGATAAATGGAAAAGTCTTCAAAACTTGTCTGAATACCCAATGTAGTAAATGGTAGCATGAGATGGAGTTGCTCAGATTTGACTACCCTCAGGACAACTGCCCTTGTGGCTTAGCTATCACCAGATACCTGTTCTTGTGATCGGACTTGAAAGATGACCAGGATGAAAAGGACAAGGGCTTTCAAACTTTTGCTATCTCATAACTTAAAAAAATTTCACTTCAGATACCTGACAGTAGAGAATCTGATGGCCCTTCCAGTCAGTGCAGCAAATTAAAAGAGTTATCTGAATTGTATCTCAGAAAACACAAGGCTCACTCTTCTCGTAAGTCATTAGACCAAGACCCTCTAGTAGCAAAAACACAACTCTGGCTAGGGAAGCATATACACAAAATGACTTAGAAGAGGCCACTAGGGTTTGTTGGCTTTTTAAAATATTTTTTAACACCAAAAGTATTTTGTATTGGGGTACAGCCGATTAACAACGCTGTGGTAGTTTCAGGTAAACAGCCATACATAAGCATCTATCCATTCTCCTCCAAAACCCTCTCCCCTGCAGGCTGCCACATAACATTGAGCAAAGCTCCATATGCTATGCAATAGGTCTCTGTTGGTTATCCATTTTTAAATATAACAGTGTGTACATGACCTTCCCAAAGTCCCTAGCTATCCCTTCCCCCACAGCAACCACAAGTTCCTTTTCTAAGTCTATGAGTCTGTTCTGTAAGTAAGTTCATTTGTATCATTTCTTTTTAGATTCCACACACAAGGGGTATCATATGATATTTCTCCTTCTCTGACTTACTTCACTCAGTATGACACTCTCTAGGTCCATCCACATTGCTACAAATGGCCTTATTTCATTCTTTTTAATGACTGAGTATCAGTCCATTGTATATATGTACAACATCTCCTTTACCCATTCCTCTGTTGATGGACATTTAGGTTGCTTCCATGTCTTGGCTATTGTAAACAGTGCTGCAATGAACATTAGGATGTATGTATCTTTTCGGGCCATGTTTTTCTCTGGATATATGCCCAGGAGTGGGATTGCAGGGTCATATGATAGCTCCATTTTTAGTTTTTTAAGGAACCTCCAAGTGGCTGCACCAATTTACATTCCCACCAACAG